GTATTGTTCAATCACAGTATTTTGCAGTCACAGTATTGTTGCAGCCACAGTATTGTTGCAGCACGTATTGTTGCAGCCACGTATTGTTGCAGCCACAGTATTGTTGCAGCCACAGTATTGTTGCAGTCACAGTATTGTTGCAACCACAGTATTGTTGCAGTCACAGTATTGTTGCAGCCACAGTATTGTTGCAGCCACAGTATTCTTGCAGTCACAGTATTGTTGCAGCCACAGTATTGTTGCAGCCACAGTATTGTTGCAACCACACGTATTGTTGCAGTCACAGTATTGTTGCAACCACAGTATTCTTGCAGTCACAGTATTGTTGCAGCCACAGTATTGTTGCAGCCACAGTATTTTGCAGTCACAGTATTGTTGCAGCCACAGTATGTTGCAGCACAGTATTGTTGCAGCCACAGTATTGTTGCAACCACAGTATTGTTGCAGCCACAGTATTGTTGCAGTCACAGTATTGTTGCAGCCACAGTATTGTTGCAGCCACAGTATTGTTGCAGTCACAGTATTGTTGCAGCCACAGTATTGTTGCAGCCACGGTATTGTTGCAGCCACAGTATTGTTGCAGTCACAGTATTGTTGCAGCCACAGTATTGTTGCAGCCACAGTATTGTTGCAGCCACAGTATTGTTGCAGCCACAGTATTGTTGCAGTCACAGTATTGTTGCACCACAGTATTGTTGCAGCCACAGTATTGTTGCAGCCACGTATTGTTGCAGTCACAGTATTGTTGCAGCCACAGTATTGTTGCAGCCACAGTATTGTTGCAGTCACAGTATTGTTGCAGTCACAGTATTGTTGCAGCCACAGTACTGTTGCAGCCACAGTATTGTTGCAGTCACAGTATTGTTGCAGCCACAGTATTGTTGCAGCCACAGTATTGTTGCAGCCACAGTACTGTTGCAGCCAAAGTATTGTTGCAGTCACAGTATTGTTGCAGCCACAGTATTGTTGCAGCCACAGTATTGTTGCAGCCACAGTATTGTTGCAGCCACAGTATTGTTGCAGCCACAGTATTGTTGCAGCCACAGTATTGTTGCAGTCACAGTATTGTTGCAGCCACAGTATTGTTGCAGCCACAGTATTGTTGCAGCCACAGTATTGTTGCAGCCACAGTATTGTTGCAGTCACAGTATTGTTGCAACCACAGTATTGTTGCAGCCACAGTATTGTTGCAGCCACAGTATTGTTGCAGCCACAGTATTGTTGCAGCCACAGTATTGTTGCAGTCACAGTATTGTTGCAGCCACAGTATTGTTGCAGCCACAGTATTGTTGCAGTCACAGTATTGTTGCAGTCACAGTATTGTTGCAGTCACAGTATTGTTGCAGTCACAGTATTGTTGCAACCACAGTATTGTTGCAGTCACAGTATTGTTGCAGCCACAGTATTGTTGCAGTCACAGTATTGTTGCAGTCACAGTATTGTTGCAGTCACAGTATTGTTGCAACCACATATTGTTGCAGTCCACAGTATTGTTGCAGTCACAGTATTGTTGCAGTCACAGTATTGTTGCAGTCACAGTATTGTTGCAGTCACAGTATTGTTGCAGTCACAGTATTGTTGCAGTCCACAGTATGTTGCACCACAGTATTGTTGCAGCCACAGTATTGTTGCAGCCACAGTATTGTTGCAGTCACAGTATTGTTGCAGTCACAGTATTGTTGCAGTCACAGTATTGTTGCAGTCACAGTATTGTTGCAGTCACAGTATTGTTGCAGCCACAGTATTGTTTTCAGTCACAGTATTGTTGCAACCACAGTATTGTTGCAGTCACAGTATTGTTGCAGTCACAGTATTGTTGCAGCCACAGTATTGTTGCAGTCACAGTATTGTTGCAGTCACAGTATGTTGCAGCACAGTATTGTTGCAACCACAGTATTGTTGCAGCCACAGTATTGTTGCAGTCACAGTATTGTTGCAGCCACAGTATGTTGCAGTCACAGTATTGTTGCAGCCACAGTATTGTTGCAGTCACAGTGTTGTTGCAGTCACAGTATTGTTGCAGCCACAGTATTGTTGCAGTCACAGTATTGTTGCAGCCACAGTATTGTTGCAGTCACAGTATTGTTGCAGTCACAGTATTGTTGCAGCCACAGTATGTTGCAGCCACAGTATTGTTGCAGTCACAGATTGTTGCAGCCCTATGTTGCAGCCACAGTATTGTTGCAGTCACAGTATTGTTGCAGCCCCAGTATTGTTGCAGCACAGTATTGTTGCAGTCACAGTATTGTTGCAGCCACAGTATCTGTTGCAGTCACAGTATTGTTGCAGTCACAGTATTGTTGCAGCCACAGTATTGTTGCAGCCACAGTATTTTTGCAGCCGTATGTTGCAGCCACAGTATTGTTCATCACGTTGTTGCAGCCACAGTATTGTTGCAGTCACAGTATTGTTGCAACCACAGTATTGTTGCAGATCACAGTATTGTTGCACCAGTTGTGCACACACTATTGTTGCAAACCACAGTACTGTTGCAGCCACAGTATGTTGCAGCCACAGTATGTTGCAGCCACAGTATTGTTTGCAGTCACAGGTATTGTTGCAGCCACAGTATTGTTGCAGCCACAGTATTGTTGCAACCACAGTATGTTCAGTCACAGTACTGTTGCAGCCACAGTATTATCAGCACAGTATGTTGCACCACAGTATTCAGCCACGTATTGTTGCAATCCATAGTATTGCTGCAGCCACGGTATGTTGCATCACAGTATTATGCAGCCACTAGTGTTGCAATCACAGTAATTACTGCAGCCACGTAGTGAACCAGATTACGCAGCCACAGTATTGTTGCAGCCGCGGTAGTGTTGCAGCCACGGTAGTGTTGCAGCCACAGTATTACTGCAGCCACAGTATTGTTGCAGCCACGGTAGTGTTCCAGCCATAGTATTGTTGCAGCCACGGTAGTGTTGCAGCCACAGTATTGTTGCAGCCACGGTAGTGTTGCAGCCATAGTATGTTGCAGCCACGGTAGTGTTGCAGCCATAGTATTGTTGCAGCCACGGTAGTGTTGCAGCCATAGTATTGTTGCAGCCACGGTAGTGTTGCAGCCACAGTATGTTGCAGCCACGGTAGTGTTGCAGCCACAGTATTGTTGCAGCCACGGTAGTGTTGCAGCCATAGTATTGTTGCAGTTACGGTAGTGTTGCAGACAGTATTGTTGCAACCACTGTTTTCTTATTTTTTAGTTTTCAATTAGGAAAAAAACTTTCAGCAAGGAAAACGTTTCTTCCACACGAGGGCGAAACGTCTTGATTAATAGTTATCCAATAGCAGCGATCAAACACCGGATACATGGATACATCACTGAGAGTGGATCAGTAGTTACCGTTTAGCAACAACAGAATCAACCAACGGGCAGGAGGATACATCACTGAGAGTGGATCAGTAGTTACCGTTTAGCAACAACAGGAATCAACCAACGGGCAGGAGGATACATCACTGAGAGTGGATCAGTAGTTACCGTTTAGCAACAACAGGAATAAACCAACGGGCAGGAGGATACATCACTGAGAGTGGATCAGTAGATACCGTCCTGCAAAAAACAGGAACCGACGACCGGCGGAATTCGTTATCACCGCCGGATTCGTTAGCATTCCCCAGCAATGGCCAGTACCGACTAGCTAGTGGATTCGTTACTACCTTACAGTAAAAAAAAAACGGCATTAACGAACGGGTATGTTCGTTAGAGCGAGCGAGGTAACGAACTCGTCCACAACTAAGCTTGAATTTCATAATGGAACGTTCAGTTTAGTGGCGGCCGTTTTAATATACTGGCGAGTTTCATAAAATTTTTATTCGTATGGTCTATAAAGTTCCTTCAATATTAAAAAAATCACACAAGCGCTGCGTATAAATCAAGATAACTGAGAAAACTAAAAAAAATATTCCACAATTTACAAAAGATAGTACAAAAATTAATAGTAATCGTAATTTATCCTAATATATAATTCTGATGAAAATATATTATTATTATAATATATATATATATATATATATATATATATATATATATATATATATATTATATATATATATATATATATATATATATATATATATATATATATATATATATATATATATATATATATATATATTATGTGTGTGTGTGTATATATATATATATATATATATATATATATATTTATTATGATTAATTTTCATAAATTTAAACATTGTAAAAACACATATTACAGAATGATGACAAATGTTAATGTTTTTAGGTGATTTTTATGTGTTTCTTAGTATAAAATACGATTTGACGGGCTGGAAGGAATGTGAACTCCATCATCATTATCATCATCAACATCATTATCATCATCATCATCTTCCTAATAATCATCAGTCTTGTCTTGTGACATAACTTAGAAGATAATTGAGCCTGCAAATTAATATCTCCAGAGTTTGATCAAGTAGAAGGTTGACTGATTGGGAATATACACCGAGAGGTGTGTATCTCTCAGTATATATACACAGAGAGATGTGTAGGTCTCAGTATATATTATATACACTGAGAGATTTTTATCTCTCAGTTTTTATACACAGAGAGGTGTGTATCTCTCAGTGTATATTCAACTAAAGATATGTTTCTCAGCCTGTCACAGAGGTGTATATCTCATAGACTTTCTTCCAAGAGATACCAGTATCTCTCAGTGTATATACACGCTGAGAATACGTTATCAACATTATATTTGTACAGTATAACCCAACAAACGTTTCTCCTCCCACATCCCATGTTTTGCACTAAATTTCTCCAGAATATAACAAGCGTATCTCCCTCTATCCTCTCATATTTGCAAAGATATTCTACACGAAGAAATTAGATACGTGCCTGATACCTCACGTATCTAAAGGACCCCAATGGAAACAAGTCACTTTGACTGTTTTGGGTTATCCCAGGTTCTCTACACATATGTTGCTAATCTATGTAACTGTATTTGTGTATACCTGAATATACTTACTTACTTACTCTTCTGCCACAGCCTGTGTTGTGTGAGGTGTTCTATATATTGATGGAGTACGCCCGCACGGCTATGTTCCTCTGGATGTTCATTGAGGGATACTACCTCAACAGTATGCTTACCGTGGATGTCTTCACCGACCAGCCCAACCACACGTGAGGGGAGAGAGAGAGAGAGAGAAAGAGAGAGAGAGAGAGAGAGAGAGAGAGACCGCAAAATAAATATTTAGAAACAATTTTTTCTTTCATAATAATCAAAAGGAGGACTTGAATTATAGCTCTAGGCTTTTGGTTCTGCAATCAACACATCATCAGGGCCTTGCAATGAATATATAGTGAGAGATTCTTGATAGAGACGTTTCTCTGAACGAATCTGCCTGGACTTCCTACTCATTTCTGCAACATTAGAAGCCCCTTATGATGTGTTGACTGCAACACGAATGTCCTAACTAGAACTATCATTCAACCAACCCTGTGATTATTTTGCATATATATATATATATATATATATATATATTATATATATATATATATATATATATATCTATATAATATATATAATATATAAATATATATATATATATATATATATATATATATATACATATATGCAAATTCACACGCTCTCTCAAAAATGTGTTACTGTTGCTGTCACTCTGTTAATAATAATAATAAAAATGATAATAATAATAATAAAAATAATAATAATAATAATAATAATTTTACCATTATTATTCATTATATGACGTATAATCCACAGAATATACAACTTGCTGGGCTGGGGCGTCCCTGTAGTGATGACAACAGTGTGGGCAGCAGTGACAGCCTACCAGCACACCGGCACAGAGTGAGTACTCTCACTAGCCTCACTCTCGTTCATTAAATCACAACTGATCTATCTATTCATTAATAAATTCAATCTTGTTTATTCCTTCTTGCTAGATTACCGTGGGCTACATTAACGTAGTCTTGATTACCGTAGTCTAGAGTACCGTAGGCTCCATTACTGTAGGCTTCATTATCATAGGCTCCATTACCGTAGGCTCCATTACTGTAATTTTGATTACCGTAGGCTAGATTTCAGTATGCTAGATTACCGTAGGCTCCATCACTGTAGACTCCATTACCGTAGGCTCCATTACCGTAGTCTTGATTACCGTAGGCTAGATTTCAGTATGCTAGATTACCATATGCTCCATTACTGCAGGCTCCATTACCGTAGGTTCCATTACTGTGGAACCTTTAACGACAACGCAAGGATAACAAAAACTACAGAAATCTGGGAGGTCAGTATGTACAACCGAACATAACACCAACTTTACCAACCCGATTTTTTTCAGGGTCTGAATACAAACATTACTGAAATTAGAAGCCTTGAGACATAATAAAATAAAAACATAATCAAATGGATGTTTGTCAACAAACTAACCGAAACAAGAGAAGAACTGGACTTTGGAGTATCCACAACAACGACCTCAAAGGTACCAAACAATGGCTCTCTGCGTGCAGAAAAGCTATCAGCATGCTAGGTGTAATAGCTAGCAACTTCGAGTGTAAAATACCAGATACCATGTTGAAAGTGGTATTAAATACCGACAAGTTGCTGATTAAGATGTAAGTGCAACAGCTGGGTATCTTTATTGTTAAAAGTTTCGCGTACACAGTAGGTTTCTTCAGTCGTATATAGAAGCATCAGTCCGTCAACCAAGGTTGAGGGACAGATTACGTCATCTTCATTTCACTATTACACTCGCTGCCTCTGTATTTGACTAAAGAAGTCTACTATGTAGGCGAAACGTTTGAACAGTAAAGGTTGTAATGATATTGGTAGAATTACCGACGATATGGTAACGGCTTAATAAAGCTCCTGGAGAGCGAAACGTTGCCGCAATGAAATGTCACCTTAATTGCACTTGTGTTCTTTTGCTTAACAATAAAGGTACCCAACTGTGAACATATATCTTAATCATCACCAGATACCACACAGACTTAGCACTAAATAATAACTTGTTAGACCGCAACTTCAATATGCCGCCATGTTGCCAAGTTTTGGTCTAAAAACTTAGAGATGGTACTAGGCTCGTATCATCACTGAGAAACATCCCACAAAACGAATAACTCATACCACCTCACCTTTTTCTTTTTTACACAAATCCATCTTACAGCCCAGGAGCTGTTATCCAACCTCAGCTCATTTCAAAACCCAGCCCTGTCTAAAGGTATACTACCCCCCTCCCCTTCCCTAGGATGCCACCCACACCAGTCGACTAACACCCAGGTACCTAATTACTGCGAGATGAACAGGGGGCCGCAGGTGTAAGGAAACAACCCCTACGTTTTCACCCGTACCGGAGATCGAACCACGGACACTCAGTGTGCTACCAACTGAGCCAGAGGACACTCCAAATAACCTTTTCTCTCATAGGATACAAACGACGAAATCTCATTCAGACCTTTCAGATACTGAATGTTTTTTAGCTCACTTCAACACGAAGAACTATTTGAAGTGCAAATTGCATCAGTAACTCGAAACAATACAGTGGGACTTCGAGGCAGGAGATGCAACACGATCAAGTGTAAGGATTTTTTTTTTTCAAATTGAATTACAGGAGAATGGAACAAACTACCAGATGGAGCAGAGAGAACGAAGACAACACAGCCATTTAAGAACCAGTTCAAAAAGCACTTTGCAAACCTTTTGCTGAATTAGATACCTTACGGATTCCTGATTTTTGTTCATTAGTTACATAAGAATGGAGGAACACTGCAGGAGACCTAGTGGCCCCTACAAGGCGATCAGTTGACGATCAGTTGACAACGAGCCAACCAAGTTGAAAGTAAGAGTTGTACATAAACGGTACACAATACCGACAAGTTGAAGAAACAGATACAGAGGTTTCGCCAACCATTGGCTTTATCAATACAACACAAGGACATGATTTGAAGAATTATATACAAAAGAAGAGGTAATCAGTCCCTCAGCTTTGGAGTTGGTGAAGAGCACCGTAGTCTTAAAGGAACGTCTAAAAATAAAAATATCTAGATGTTACACATGTGTCTATATAAGTAATTGTAGTATAAGTAAATGGTTGTGTTAGACACTGCAGGGAAGTGCAGTGAAATACCACAAGCAGTTATGATAGAAATAGGGCTAATTAAGTAGAGGTGGTTGTAGACTACATCTTCCATCCACCTTCACTTCCCTCGTCAATTCCGTGCCACTTTTCACTGCGGAATGGTGCACCTTTCTCCCTGTCTTCATGCCGACACTGACCGGAATACGTTGAAGGTGGGGAGAGAGCCTTCTGTTTTACTTTTCCTTACCTCAGACGATAATCTTTAATGTAGAAAGAAATGGATAATTATCTTAGCAGAGAGTATATGCTATCTAATGTAGCCATTTGCTGTCTGTCTGTCTATCTCTAAATCATTCCGTCTGTCTCTCTTGCATCCCCCACATAATCTCCCTACTGCTATCCTTATCTCCCCACCATATTCCCCACCACTTTCCCATCTCTCACCATGTCCCGCAGCATCTCCCACACCGTCTCCCTACCATCTCCCCACCATCACCCCTTCCATCTCTCGCACCATCCCCCAGACCATCTCCCACACAATCGCCCCTCACCATCTCCCACACTACCTCCCCACTATCTCCCCCACCATCTCCCGCACCATCTCCACCACTCTCCATGTTGCAGGTGTTGGTGGGGCTATAACTTGAGTCCGTACTTCTGGATCCTGGAGGGACCTCGCCTCACCGTCATAATAGTAAGCTACAAGTATCTCTTCTATGAATTTAGTAACAACAACCAACAAAAATAACAGCAACAAACTACAACAACAACCACAATAAACCACAACGTTTAAACCAAAACAATCTCCACAGTAACTAAACAAGAGCGATTAATTATCAGGTGGTAATTGGAAGCATAACACAGTAATCCCAACAAAACACTTTAATTTTCCTAGGATGACTGCCCTGGAGCTTATTCAATACCACACCCAGATATACCACACCCAGGTATACCAATACTATACCAATACCGTACTCAGGTATACCAATATCACACCCAGGTATGCCACACCTAGGTATACCAATACTATACCCATGTATACCAATACCGTACCCAGGTATACAATACCACACTTAGGTATACCAGTACCACACCCAGGTATACCAATACTATACCAATACCGTACTCAGGTATACCAATATCACACCCAGGTATGCCACACCTAGGTATACCAATACTATACCCATGTATACCAATACCGTACCCAGGTATACAATACCACACTTAGGTATACCAGTACCACACCCAGGTATACCAATGCCACACCCAGGAATACCAGTACCACAACCAGGTATAACAATACCGTACTCAGGTATACTAACACCACACCCAGGTATACCAGTCCATCAGGTGTACTGAAGGTCGCCCGAGCCACTTCAAGATCAAGCCGCGACGCTTTCACAAATTCAATAACATTAATGCCGAAACGAACTCCAATAAAACTGGCTATGAAAACATGACTTGTTTACTGCCAGCACGATTTTCAAAATGTAAAAATGCATTTTTTAAGAAGAGTTTTCTTTTTCTGAAGGAAGGGGGAAGGGGCAGGAGAGAGAGAGAGAGAGAGAGAGAGAGAGAGAGAGAGAGAGAGAGAGCGCAGTGAATGAAATATTGCGGGATTATGTAAATAGTTGAATGAATGTGATACAAGGACGTATTGAAATGTTGCAGATCAACTTGCGTTGCTCAACTCTGTGTTGTGTGTACTACACACACACACACACAACACCACACACACACACACCACACACACACACACACATATATTATATATATATCAATATATATATTATATATATAAAATTTTATAATATATACCTGGAGAGGGTATTGTAGGTCAACGCCCCCGCGACCCGGTCTGACACCAGGCCTGCAAGAACTGCGAACAACCGATACAAGATGCAAGATACTCATTTCTGCAACTTTGCAAGCTCCTGATGATGTGTTGATTGCAATACGAAAGGCCTAGAGCTATTATTCAACTACCCTGTGATTGTTTTTGTGTCACCCTGCCTAGGTCGGAGACGGCCGACTCATTAATATATATTATATATATATATATATAAATATATATATATATATATATATATATATATATATATATACAAACACTGATCTCTGGCTGAAGGAGACTCGAACCTACGAACCGTAGGACAAGGTACGCAGTGCTTTACCAATCTACCCACACTGGACCAATACCTTGGCGTGTAGCATGAGCTACACGTTTGATCCAAGGCAGCCAGCTTTCAGGGAGAAGGCTTACAGCTTTTCATCTCATCCCCTGCATGCATCAGCCTTACTAGAGAATTTGAACAATGCTGTAAGCCTTCTCCCTGAAAGCTGGCTGCCTTGGATCAAACGGTGTAGTCCATGCTACAAGCCAAGGTATTGGTCAGTGTGGTAGTTGTAAAGCATGCGTACCTTGTCCTAAGGTTCGTAGGTTCGATTTCCCCTTCAGCAGAGATCAGTGTTGTGTATATTTGCATGTTCTCGCGAATTCCTTGCATTGTTCAAATCACTAGTAAGGCTGATGCATGCAGGGGATGAGATGAAAAGCTGTAAGCCTTCTCCCTGAAAGCTGGCTGCCTTGGATCAAACGTGTAGCTCATGCTACACGCCAAGGTATTGGTCCAGTGTGGGTAGATTGGTAAAGCACTGCGTACCTTGTCCTAAGGTTCGTAGGTTCGAGTCTCTTTCAGCCAGAGATCAGTGTTTGTGTATATTTCGCATGCTCTCGCGAATTCCTTGCATATATATATACGTATATACATATATACATATACATATTAATTATTGTTATTATACTGGTGTAGTGAGGGAACTGGAGGTGGAGTTGGAAAGAACGTCGCTTCTTGCTAATCTGGAATAAATTCAATCAATCGACAATCAACTCGATCCATTTTCAATGGAAACTGAATTGAGGAAAATATTGAGATTGAAGTAGGAAAAGAAAGTTGAAAAAAAAACCCCAGGATGGTGGAAGGTAGGGAAGGAAGAAGGGAATACTGGAGGGAAGAAAGTAGGGGACGAGGAAAGGAGGGAGAGAAGGAAGGATAATTGGAGAGGGGTGAAAGTAGGAAAAGAAGACAGAAGGAAGAAGCATGATGGGAGGGAAGAAATGGGGAAAATCAGGATAGAGAGAAAATGGAGTAAAAGAATAACGAAAAACAACAACGACAATAACAGTATCAAATACAACATGGGAAACCAACAAAAGTAATAATAACAATACTACTACCACCAACAGCAACAACACAACAACAACAATAACAACAACACAAACAACAACAACACAAACAACAACAACAACAACACAAACAACAACAACACATAACAACAACAACACAAACAACAAGACAAACAACAATAACAACACAAACAATAACAACAACACAAACAACAACAACAACAACAACAACAACAACAATAATAATAATTCAACACAACACCATCATTACAACGTTACCACCACCACCATCACCACCACCACCACTACTACCATCACCACCACCACCATCACCACCACCACCACTACTACCATCACCACCACCACCATCACCACCACCACCACTACTACCATCACCACCACCACCATCACCACCACCACCACTACTACTACCACCACCACTACGATCACCACCACCACCACTACTACCATCACACCACACCATCACCACCACCACCACTACTACCATCACCACCACCACCACCACCACTACTACTACCACCACCACTACGATCACCACCACCACCACCACTACTACCACCACTACGATCACCACCCACCACTACTACTAACACCACCACCACTACAATCACCACCACCGCTACAATCACCACCACACCACCACCACCTACCACCACCACTACTTCTACCATCACCACCACCACTACTACCACCACCACCACCACCACTACCACCACCACCTATAAAATGAACCTGATTGCTTCATACACATCATCTTACAAGCCAGAATATAAATGCTGCAACCCCTGAATGGGTTACAATGTATATGATTTATATAATGTATATTACCTTCTCATATAATTTTATATTGCTTATATTTGCGATAATAGCTAAATCGTAAATATATGACTTTATATTATTATTTGACTTAGTTATGTTGTTAGGTAGGATGTAACACATATATTATGTGCTCATAGTTTTAAGTCTTGATTGTCTAACTACTGTAATTATCGCTTGTGGCTCGTTACTCTGCCGGCTTCTGTTGCTGGGCAGCAACTGTCCACGGAACTATCACGGGAACGAGGGGGGAAGGGGGGTGATCACACCTCGCCTGAAGTATCCAGTCTGGTCTAGACTCGCTTGGTGGTTGGACGTATTCCAGAGAAGAAGTGCCTAAATCTCCCTTATTGGCCCTTGTTGGAAGATCGTCTCTGTCTTATTATTGTTGTTGGTTCTGGAGACTCTGTTCACAGAACATTGTATAGACTTAGTGATTTTCGGCGTTGTACTGAGGTTGTGTGTCTCTTAGACACTCTGAGTAACTCAGGTCCTGAGCTGTAGCTTCTGACCTAATTTGTACTGGTATCTGTGTATTGTCACAGTCGGGGATTTTCTTATGCTGAACTTAGATTCAGTAGTATGGGAGTTTTGTGACTTTTGTGGAGGATCTGCTGATGGTCCCTACTTAGTGTCGTTATATTATCTCCTTGATCCTGATTGTGTCGCAGTTGCTTGTTATATTGCTATTGGGCTTAGCGTTCTTTTTATTGCTCAAGCAGGCTGTTCTGATTTCCAGTTGGTCAAGAAGTTAGTTTATGAGAGGACTTTGTCAGTCACTTTTCTAAGTCTAGTCGAGTCGTGAGACATAGCGAACTATTTAGAGCACTTACACACATACACACAAACTTACTTGTACATATTTGTAATATCTTATTAAATGTTAATGT